GAGAGAGAGACACAGAGAGAGAAACTTAGAGGCAGAGGAGCACAAAACGAGAGTGTGATAGAGAAAAGACAATTTTTTAAAATCCTGTGTAATCTTGGAGGTAAAAAGAAAGTCTTCCCTGCAGTTAATTATCTAAATGCTAAAATAAATGCATTTGATATGTTGCACCTTTGCAAGTTTGTCTACTGATTTAGTGACTGATTAGTTTGATATTATGTGTGTATATGTGTCGCTAACAGCACACGACAGACCTGACCTGCTGGACCAAACGCCACCAAGCTGCCCCAGAGAGGAGTGTCGAGATGGAAGCTAAGCTAACCCAGCTAAGCAAAGCGAGCAAAGCTGCATCTCTGAGGACGTTTTCAACAACGCGAGGCTGAGATGTTTCAGCTGATGCATCATCGGGTCGGGAAGGTGAGGGAGGCAGACAGAGAAGAAATATGAATCATATCCTCAGTTCTCAGGAGCTCAAAGATCTAGACATTCTGTAAACAGGACCAACAAGAGTTTGATTCCAAGATGACATTTAACAAACGCTCACACGTCAACAGAGGCACCGTTCCATGCAGCAAAATGTATAACAAAAGTAAAGTGGTCATTCTTGGGTAAGCACAGACAATACTTACAATGTGTGCACATCTCCAGGGGGAAGCTGGCTTCATTTCCCTAAAGAGAGAAAGAGAAACAGAGGCGTCAGTTTCATTTTCTAACTTGAGACGTCGCGAAAGTACAGAAACGACCTCAAAGGGCTCTCTGCTAGAAGCCGTTTCCATACATGAGATATAAATCCTGTGTCCGCTACAAAATTTGACAGGTTCCTCCGTAACTCAAGCTACAATCTTCCACCAAGTTTCATTCAAATCGGGTCAGTGGTTTTTCCATAATCCTGCTGACAAACAGACGAATAAACCAAACACACCGGTTTTGGTCTTATTTTAAGACTTCTTTAGTACTTTAGTCATTTTATTAAGATTTTTTCATGCTAAATGACTTATTTCTAAGAAACTTATGAGCAATTCCAGTGTGTGAAATACAAGGTGGTGATCGGGGGGGGTCCTGTCTACCTCGATTCATTAGTTAAGCTTTAAAAAGACATTTTGGAAATTGCATCACAAATAATAGTCTTGTGATTTTAGATATTACGCTATTAAGGCTTTCAGGGGGTGTGACACTGAGCAGGTCTCTGTAAACATAATAAGATTTAAAGTTTTGCTTTTGTCTGATTCTTTGTGGATCAATCATATTTGTTAGTCGACTAAGAATTTCTTTGGTCGAGGACTAAAATAATCAAACATTGCAACATTTTCAGTCTTGTTGATCATAGAATGTCATATCTGCAATGGTTAAAAGTATAATTTGCAAATATGCAAAATATTAATATGCAAAGCCAAAATCCAAAAGTTTGTTCTCCAAAACAGAAAGAGTTGTAAGTAGTAGTAGTTATTGTCATGATGAATCTGTCCTGACTTGTCAGATGCACTGTTGTCTCTGTGTCACAGAGAATCTGAAGAACTCTCATCCACAGTTTCTAGACGATGAAGATGTTTCTCTTTGAAGTAGTAAAGATTTTTCTTCACACGCGACCTCTGAAACTCTCAAACCACACTGATAACATCATCACGTGTTCCACACCAGAGAACAGATGACATGTTGTCAGTTCTGTCGTTTGTCAGGATGGAACCTCCTTCTTTTAATTACAGCAGCCTTCTCTACAAACATTATCTCTGAATGCTCTTTATATCCTGCATTATTCCTGAAAACCTGAACCATCAGGGTGGGGTCCACCATTGGTCATTTGACAAACAAGGAAAAGTTCTGTAGAAAAGGGTCTAAACCAGGCGGCAACCTCCGGTTCTGCCAAGCGGTGAAGTGTCTTAAAACCTGCATTCTCTCTAGTGTCCACCAGGGGGCGACTCCTCTGGTTGTATAGAAGTCTATGAGAAAATGACTCTACTTCTCTCTTGATTTATTACCTCAGTGAACATTGTAAACATGAGTTTATGGTCTTAATCTCTAGTTTCAAGTCTTCAATACAGTCTTCCTTTGTAGCTCTGTTTAGTATGGAGCCTCCTCAGCTCTGCCTTTGTGTTGCCAGTCTCCTCGCTGTCACCAGACCACAGTGTTTCCCTCTTAACTCCAGCTGTGCCTCGTCTGCTGATTAGCACCCTGGGTATTTATATCCGTCTGTTCTTTGTCACTTCATTTGTCGTCTTCAGTTGAAGCGGCTTCCTTTGCTTCTCGTGACCCGCCAAGTGTGTCTACTTTCTATTCCTATTATGCAAATAAATAGATCATTCTTCTGTTCCTGTCTTCTGCTTTTTTTGGGTTCACCTGCATGCTTCAAATGTGACAGTGACTGCAGATCAGAAACCAGCCACTTCAAACAGATTCTGGAACATTTTCAGTGATGTTTCACTCAAACCCCTCGAGGAAGTTTCCCATCTACTGTGCAGCGTCTTTCAAACCATGCAACAAGCAACGAACGCCATCGAATCCTCCAGCATTACGCAAAGGCTCTTTAAATGAACCATGTTATCCAAAGGAACTGCCCGGCGGTGTGTGTGTGTGTTTGGCTCATGTTCAGCATTCACATCCCATCATACACTGCAGTGTCCTCTGAGTCTGATCCTACAGCTAAGAGAGAGAGACAGAGAGAGAGAGAAGCTTCGGGCCAGCAAGCAATCATCTGGAAGTGTCCTGCAGCTCCATCGAGGAACACAAAGAAAGTGGACATGCAGACCAGAGATGGACTGGATGCAGCGGCCAGGATACCAGCTACTGGTCAACAAAGCTGGGTTTTAACCCCTTTTGGTTCAACATTAATGTGAAAATTGTGTATCTTAAATGAGTGGAAACAAGGCTGTCTTTAATGTTGCTACCAGCAGACGTTTCTAAAACATAGAAGTCAGGGATTGTCCATCCACGACCGCAAAAGTTGCATCCAAGGAATGCTCAGAGCTGTTTATTGCAAAGACATCTGAACTTTAAAAATAACCGCTCTGCTCACAATGTAATCTAAACAAACTACAGCAAACCCTCAAATGTTTTGATTTTGTGGATTCAATGAGACGGATTCAGGCAGCAAGTAGAGTTGAAGTTATGCTGCAACATGAAAGGATTCTCATTTTACAATCTATTATCCGTCCGTTACCTTTTTCCAACTCTTCCTGGAGAACGCCGAGGTGATCCCAGGCCAGACCAGATATATAATCTCTCCAGCATGTTCAACCTCGGGGGGCCTCTTACCAGTCCGACATACCTGGAAAACTTCTAAAGGGAGGCGTCCAGGAGGATCCTGGTCTGACTTTGAACCACCTCAGTTGGACCCTTCAGACGTGAAGGAGCAGAAGCTCTACTCTGGATGTCTCTGGAGGCAACCTCCAGTTCTCAAAATGAAGCCAATGCTTCATGTGTTAAAACCTGCATTCTCTCTAATGACCATCAGGGGGCGACTCCTCTGGTTCTATAGAAGTCTATGAGAAAATGACTCGACGGCCAAAATGCAGAACTCGAGGCTTCAAAACATCAGTCCACAAACAAATGATACGTCAACGTCTTAAGTACAGTCTGTGGTCGGAGCGTGGATGGACTCGTAATCAAGAGCTTCCGTCTCAGCTCCCTCTTCTCCACAACGAGATACTTGATAAATATATAATATTTCTTTACAAACAGTACATAGTAAAAAAGTTAATTGACTTTTGACTGGTTTGCCAAGACCAAAGAAAACTGCAAAGAAAACCCAAAGAGCATTGGTAACGCATTATGACAGAGAATCACAGTGACACAGATACTCTACTACACACCGGTGAAATGAAAAAGCTCGTGGCAGTTATGTCATCTCCTGGCTTATCGCTGTGTCCGCCGTACACCAGCAGACTCACCTCAGGGAGGTCGAGGTATTTTAAGAGCAGTGAGGAGAAAAGAGGTGACACGGGATTAGCCAGCAGAGCGACTTACATTTGACACCCTGTCAGGAGAGCGTTGACACATATACGTGGTGTTGCTTGGCGGAACAACAAGTTGCCTGGCCCCTCCCCAGTTTAACAGGATTGAATTCCAGTGCAGCTCAGTGTGCTTTACTGGGGTTGGGTGTCCTGCTGCCTGTGTGGCTCAAAGAGTAATAGTGACACTTTGTTCCCTGGAGGGAAAAGTCCTTTTGTTGGCTCCGCTACACAGCAGCGTTGCAGGAGATGTAGAGATACAGTCGCTCGCTAAAGGGCACCAGGATTCTGGATCTAACGCCTTGAACTGGTGTCCTCTCGCTCAAGGACAGGCTCTCAATGCACCAATGCTACATGAGACACTTTTATTTTGGTGCTCAGGCCAGGACTAAAGAAAAAAGAATGACTCGTTGTTGTCTTTTAGGGTCCTTACTGACTTTTTTGCAAATGAACAAAGAGTTATAATAATTAAAAACACGTGAATTATCAGTGCTGCATTCATGCTCAAAGACTTCCATTTTTCTTGGTTGGCGGTCAACTGCGTCTCAACTTCAGCTGTCATTAAATATGTCACACATCTAGAAATTGCATTGATAAGCAGACACATTTGGAAAATCTGTTTGATTTCATTTCTAATTCCACGTTTATCTGAGCTCATCACAAATGCAGAAAATCCCAGAGTTCATTTAGACGTGACGTTTAAATGAACTCTGGTGGACACAATAGCGTAAAGCTGGCTAGTTAGCAAGCTTGCTAATTTCCGCCATGCTTTAATGCTACATTGGACAGAGATTTGCTGGCCAGCAGCAGTGCTGGGTCTAAAGGTGCCTCCGCCTCACTCTTTGCTTCTCTGGAGAAGGACAAGCTAACGTTAGCCTACCTAGCTAACTAGCCAGCCATCCATCTCCAGAGCTTTACGTCCCAACTGACGTTTGTTGTCACCAACACAACAATCAACATTTTATTTTGTAAAAGTCAAATGACCACAGAAGAAAGTTCAATGTCCGTTCTACTCTAATTCCTTTTCTATGGTGTCCCCAAAGCTTTGTGAGCCCGGACATCGCCAGGTCGTGTTTTAATCCGTAGTTAACGAGTCAGCGGGCGGTCTGAAGGACAAATCTATTCGGCGTTTTTTGGCAAAATAAACTAATCATGCGTTGAGTCAAATAAGATGAAAATAAACCAACCGCAATAACTAACAACTATGACAGAGGAACAAACTGATTGTTGTATTTTTCTCAAAAGAAAAAATGTGTTTTGAAGAGAGGAAAAGAGAAAGTAGAAGTAAAAGTGGAAAAACTGTTTCAAACCATTTCAAAAGGTTTGTTTTCAGTACTGAAACGCTGAACTCTTATGATACATATATATTATAGCTTACAAAGAAACTAAACAAGATGGTGGGTAAATGACTGTGGAGTCCCTGGAGGTAAAGAGACTTACAGCAAAGCAGATTTAGTGTTGAGGATTATAGGTTTACTAACTAAGGCCTGCGTTAGGTCTCCGGTGTAACTCCTGGACAAACCCCCTCATACTGTTCTTTACATATGAACTAACAGAGCATATCAGATGTGATGATTATGAAAACACAGAAAAGAAAAAGCATCTTGCATGCACAGAGGAACAGAGAGACTCGTGCTGGCTCATCAATAATGCATGCTTCATTCAGAATCAATTAGGCCTCAGCACACAAAACACACTTTGCATAATGAAGAGTTTGGCGTCGCCGCCGGTTCAGCAGCAGCGACCCAAACGGCGGATAATTAGGATAATTATAAACCCAGTCGTCCCACTAAAGGCCGAGGAGAGCAGACATGGACGGCGTCTTTAGCAGCACATGAGAACGTATTCGCTCTACAATAAGCCAATGACAGATAATTAATACGTGGTCAGCAGTAAGTGATCCTTTCATCTTTTAAAAAGCTGAAATCTGTTCATATTAAAGTTGTAGCTTTATTTGTGAAAGGCCGGATACTTGTTTTGTGGAATAGATTATGTTTTCATAACTGCACAGACATAAAGGCTGTGGCTAAGTGGATAGCAGGGCCGTCTTTCAATCAGAGAGTTGGCGGTTCAATCCCCAGCTCTGCTAGTAGCATGTCAATGTGTCCTTGAGCAAGACACTTAACCCCAAAATTGCTCCCGTAGCTGTGCCTCCGGTGTAGAAATGTGATAGACTCTGAATTGTAAGTCGCTTTGGATAAAAGCATCTGCTAAATGACTGTAATGTAATTATTTAGTCAGACAGTCAAAGTGTACGGATAATGTCTAATCTTCTTCATGTTTCATATTATCTGATCAGAGTATTCACTGTGTTTGCATTCCTCCGATGCAGATTCTAAATAAGATGCAGGACATGAATACAGGAACGCTGCTGTTGTTCTGTATTCCTTGTTCAGCAGAAATAGACTACAACTGCATTTTGTTGTGCACAGAATGACAATGAATCATAACTGAATCCTTGAATCATGACTCCTTATTAAACAACTAAAAACAGTCTGTAAAACCAGATAGTTCTCATTTAATGGCATGACATGTGGCACTGAAGAAAGGAAAACCCTGCGGAGCGCTCTGAGTGCAGCCATTGCTTCCTAGAACGCGCTGGAGTGCAGCGATGACTTGCACAAATCCTAAAAGTGTAATGGAGGAAAATGCAAGAACACAGCAGAGGAATGCATCATTCCTGAATCCCGTCCGTGGTGCATGAGAAACAGCGGACTGATCCGTGTCCTCTACCTTCATGTGGACAAACATCAGTATCCACCTCAAACATCCGTGTGTATTCACATGTTCTACACACTGTTTGTCTCTGTAATGCCAACAAGTCAGGTCTGTATGTTTGTCCTCCACCACTAAACTAAATCTGTGAAGTAACACTGAGATTGTCGAGAGGCAACGCTGCCGTCTTCTGATTGTCTACGTGACACAAACATTTTAACGTGACATAAGAACATTACAGACCTCTTCAGACACAAGATGCCTCGTTCACCCCCGTCCGGATGCTGCAGCCGTCTGTCACACGGTATCCAAATCTCATCAAGTTTATCCTCAATAGATCTCAGTAATTAATACAGGAAACCTCCAACAGTAGATAGTGCTGAGTCATTGTTAAAGGTAGAACACAGAGCTTTTCCTGCTTCTCTAATGTTTTCATGTCATTGTAAATTATAAATGTGGGGTTCAGAATCAGAACTACTTATTGTCTGAAAACTTTTGAGGGGCCAAAAATGACAGTTCACTAAAAACTACAAGGCCATCTATGACCTCTGGTGTGTGTGTGTGTGTGTGTGTGTGTGTGTGTGTGTGTGTGTGCACATGGGAAATCAACTAAAACAACATCTGTGTCTACAGTAGCTTGGCATGTTAAAGTTACCTTTCCACACGATGTTACTGATTTATTCTCTTTGGAGGTGAGAAGTGTGTTGTGTGTCTCTTCTCTCTGCTTTATTAGTTCATTGATCACCAGCAGACTCCACACTTCATGATAAATAAAAGAGTTGATGATAAACAGAGTCTCTCAGGTCTTTAAACCTCGGCCAATGACCAGCTGATGCAGAATCATCACTTTATCACACAGTAGGAGATGTGGAGGTTTACGCTCATCCGTCTCTCTCAGTTACTCTCCGTTTGTTCCTCAAAGCACCAGCTGTGTTCTAATGTTGCCCGTTGTAGAACGTTGATGTGTGAAAGTGTGTCAAGTGTAAATATGAAAATCATGAAGATAATCCTCTCAGCCGTTTCTCTCCCTGACTTCTTGTGCTCACCATGAAGGCTTTAAGGCCTCATGGTGAGACTAACAATGACTAAATGTTCTCATGCATTGACTTAGTGGTGAGGCAGGAGTCCATCGTGGTGTCACCAGGACAGAGACACATGGACACAACAACAGGAAGAATCCTAACTTATGTTTAGAATCTTTACTGGATGAACAACTAAAATGAGCGGTTAATATGTTTTAATTAACCGATCAGCTTGTTAAACTCCTCTTCATCTCTTCATCAGCGTCAGCGGCTACAGTTCACTACACGTTCACGTCCTTTTGACAACTTTAGAGTCTCTGACGCGTCACATCCCCTAAACATTTAAACGTATACTTTAACGAATACTTTAAACTCTTTCACAGAGGCTGACACGCCTCCACTCAAATACATATATTATCTGACTAAAGTTTGATCTGCTGTGTGAGCCGAGCTCTGCAGCCAGAGAGCAGAGTGGAATCAGACGGAGTGGGCTGGTTGTCAGAGCAGCGTGGATCATCCACTTCTACGGTGGCTTTCTTTCTATCTCTTTCACATTATCTCCGGCTCCATCCTTCATGTGGGTGGTGCTTGATTGCTAGGCAGCATATGGTCCCCTTAGCATCCTGGTCCCCCCCCCCAGCTGAGGATAACACACTGTGACATGAACACTATCTGTCCCCGACAGCAGCTTCCAGCCTCTGGCAGAGAGCGGAGACGTCTGCAGGGCAAACATGTAGCAAGTTTCAGCTCACGGGCGTCTGGTTATTATATTTATTATAGAAATAGTCCAAAGTATCTGTGTTTTTACATCAGATAATAATCAATATCTGAGGTCTCACTCGTCAAATGTGTCCAGATATCTCAGTACACATTCTTAATGTCACACATTGAGATTCAGACAGTTTGTTTGAGCAGTTATAGCTTTAACCTGAACAATACTGGATTTAGGTCGATAGCTTAAGAAGTTAAGAAAGATAAAATAAAGACATATTCACGCTGGTTATAAAGAATTATAACCGTGATATTATGAACTAAAAAGAACATTTTACAGATGATAAACTAACCGTGTTTCTAAACGAGCTCACACATATCGGTGCCATGTTTTGTTATTAATGCTTCTACAATAAGATCATGTCAGCCTGTATATATGTATTTATCCAGCTCTACTGTCAACTTAATGACGGCTCGTGTCAATATTTACAGACATTTGAATACACCAGAAAATAACAAATCAAATCTATAAAAACACCAAAACAAACAAAGCTTCCTGGAGCTCCAACACTGCGGTGCAAAGAAAATAAAACGTGTTTCTGAGTCCAGACGACAGCAGAAGAGATTCTTCTTGACGGACAAACGCTCAGAACGTCAATAAGTGATCAGCAAACGGACAAGTGGGAGGTGTGATCGATCTATGGGAGAGAAAGGCATTGTGGGTAAGAGAGGACAGAAGAGGAAGATGTTCAGAGAAACCACCACAATGCCCTCTTCATCCAGGTCCTCCTCATCCAGTCATCCAGGTCCGCTCCCATTGGTCACTACGCTGTGATAAGCTACCGGTTCCTAGGCAACACACCCTCCCAAATTGCACAGTACTAGTACCTCACATACTGCACAGTACTAGTACTGCACAG